CAAGTCATTCAATTTGTCCATACCTTCTCGCGAACTTCAGCATAGGGATCCAAAAGCAGTGCTTCAATCAGTTATGAGCCGCTGGCTTCCCTTAGCTGACACAGTATTGTCAATGGTCATTAAATGCATGCCTGACCCGGCTTCTGCTCAGTCTTTTCGAATATCTCGATTGCTTCCAAAGAGAGAAGAGAGCAGGGGTAGCTCTGATGTTATTTCTCAAGCCGAACTTGTAAGGAAATTTGTCGAGACCTGTAATTCCAGCGACGAGGCACCTTGCATTGCATATGTGGCAAAGATGTTTGCTGTTCCATCTAAAATGCTTCCCCGCGGAGAGATTATTTATGACAGTGAAAACGACAATTCGGAAGAATGTTTTCTAGCATTTGCCAGGATCTTTAGTGGTGTTATTCACTCCGGGCAGAAGATATTTGTTCTTTCTGCTCTCTATGATCCATTGAAGTCTGAGTCGGTGCAGAAACATGTCCAAGAAGCCGAGTTGCATGGCTTATATTTAATGATGGGCCAAGGGTTGAAACCAGTGGCTTCGGCCAAGGCAGGGAATGTTATTGCTATTAGAGGTCTTGGCCAACACATTTTGAAGAGTGCCACCCTTTCATCTACGCTACACTGCTGGCCATTATCAAGTATGATTTTCCAGGTTGCGCCCACTCTTAAGGTTGCAATAGAGCCGTCTGATCCTGCTGAAATGGGTGCACTCATGAAGGGATTGAAGCTTCTAAACCGTGCGGATCCGTTTGTTGAGGTTACTGTTTCTGCTAGAGGAGAACATGTGCTTTCTGCAGCAGGAGAGGTCCATCTTCAGAGATGCATTAAAGATTTGGAGGAGAGATTTGCAAAGGTCAGTTTGCAAGTCTCGAAACCTCTTGTCTCATACAGGGAGACCATCGAAGGTGACACAGCAAATCTTTTTGAAAAGTTGAAACTGTTGAGCCATGGCCCTGACGTTATTGAGAAAACCACACCAAATGGAAGATGTGTTGTTCGAGTGCGAGTCATGAAGCTTCCAACAGCATTAACCAAGTTACTTGATGAAAGTTCAAGTGTGCTTGGAGATATCATTGGAGGTAAATCATTGCATACTAGTAAAAGCATGGAAACCCTGGGAGCTAGCATCGTCGAAGATGAGAATCCCATTGAAGCACTCAAGAAACGCATGAAGGATGCTGTGGAGATTGACTTTTCAACTATATTCGCAGGAACAGAACCCGACAGGATAGAAAAATTTCAAAAAACATGGCAGAAGTTTGTTAAGAGGATTTGGGCTCTCGGACCATGGCAAGTTGGCCCTAACATTCTTCTCACACCAGATGTGAAGGAGAACAGCGATGGTTCCTCAGTTCTCATCCGAGGCTTCCCTTATGTATCTGAAAAACTGGGTTTTCTGTGTACATCTGACAATAGCACTTCACCACGTGAACCATCATCAGATGCAGATCAAACATTATCAAGAGAAGCAGAGAGTCTCGAGAGCAGCGTAATGTCAGGTTTTCAGCTAGCTACTGCAGCTGGACCTTTGTGTGAAGAACCAATGTGGGGTCTGGTGTTCTCTATCGAGGCATTAATATACCCACAGAATGGGCATTCTACTGATGCTGACTCATCGGTTCCTCAAATGGACCAATATGGAATTTTCTCTGGACAGGTCATGACAGCTGTCAAGGATGCCTGCCGAGCAGCCGTGCTTCAGAAGAAACCTCGATTAGTGGAAGGGATGTATTTTTGTGAGCTCAACACACCAACTGAGTTTCTGGGCCCCATGTATGCAGTTCTTTCCCGGAGACGAGCCAGGGTCATCAAGGAAGAAATGCATGAGGGGTCTCCATTGTTCACAGTCCATGCATACTTGCCAGTTGAACAGAGCATTGGGTTTGCTGATGAGCTGAGGAGATGGACTTCTGGTGCTGCAAGTGCTTTACTTGTCCTCAGCCATTGGGAAGAACTTCCCGAAGACCCTTTCTTTGTACCCAAGACAGAAGAAGAGTTGGAAGAGTTTGGCGATGGCTCTAGCATCCTGCACAACACAGCAAGAAAGCTTATTGATGATGTGAGACGGAGGAAGGGTCTTCCTGTGGAGGAAAAGGTTGTCCAACATGCAACAAAACAACGAACCTTGGCTCGGAAGGTTTAGGTAACTTACACATGGTTTTGTAATTGTAAGGCACACTACACCCTTTTTAATCAATGTTTAAATTTGTGGAACCACATGAACTTATGCTGGAGGTTGTAGTCATTTTTTCCGAAGTTTTAATGACATTTTTTGTTTAAACGGCTGGGGTAAAAATATTTTTAACTGAAGTGCACAAATTAAGGCTGTTCATGTTTATGTCAGGGCCAAAAAACCAACCGAACCAGACTGTTAGGTCCGGACCGAACCCGGATCAAGTAGATTTAGGGTCGGTCTTAGGTCCAAGCCTTTTCAGGTTTCGGGTTTCGGTCCAGTCCGGTTCAAACCCGATAAGAATTCGGTCTGGACCGATGGACTGATGAATAATTCTCCGCATGTTGTTCAACCTTATTGGATAACAAGTGCCTTCCCCATTTCGATCTGCTTGGCTCTTCACTGGATACAGATTACAGACAGAGCAACTGTGAGAATTCTCCGACTTCCGCCAGGCAGCAGCAGTAGCTCGACGGCAACCATCTGCTTCGAAGTCTCTCCTTCCGATCTCCGGTAATCTAAGCTATCCTACACTTCATCTCTGGCCTCCAACCTTCAGTAGTCCAGTATGTAAATCTCTTCTTACTCCATCACACTTTCTCTGCTTCTAGGAAGGGCATTGTGATTTCATCCAAAAAAGAGAGTTGTTTTGAATTTTAGAATTGTGTTTTGATTTTACCCAAAATAGACTTATCAAAAGATGTGTTGTTTAAACTCAATCTTAAATGAAAAAATGCATCATGTAACTGAAACTTGATCTTTAATGAATTTTAGAATGGTATTTTGATTTCACCCATTTTGATTTTTGATCCTATTGTGTACGGAGTATTTAAAAGATGCGTTTAAAGCTGCTGCAAATTAGAGCATCTTCTGTATGTCTATTGTTAAAACCACCCTATATATATTAATTATGGTGTTGACATTTGGCGTCTGACATGGAATCATTCCTATTCAGCAAGATGGTTAGACTGCCATGAGAGCTTACGTTTCAACTGTTGTTCTCCGTCTTCCATAATTATTTTTGTTCCGCCTTCCATCCAGTTCAACTGTTCTTTTTCTTCTTCTTTAATTATTTCCCACAGTTGCTGGATTATTCCGCTGATTAGGTCAGGGGTTGCACGATTGCAACCAGTTAATTCCATTTTTTCCTAATTTCCCTGCGGAATCAAAATTATTCCCATTTTCCCATAATTCCTTTATTTAACCCCTGAGAAGGTTGGGTTTGGAAAGACGATGGCGACAGTTCTATCGGTTTCCGGCTTTTACATCAACATTGGCTCAGGTAACCCTAGCCGGTCCTCCACGGTGGAGGTAGTAAGTGCGCCACCCAAAAAGTCATGAGGATGCAGTGCCGAATTGAGGAGTCCTAGCAGATATTCAAGGATTGAGTGGAAGGTGAGTCCCTTTATGAAAAAATATTAGATGAAAGTTTCCTATTTTATCTGATCTGCACCTTATTTGTTTGAAAATTGAATTCACAATCAGACAATGATAAGATAACAATTGTTTTGTCATTTTACATATCTGAATTAGATAGCAGTTTTGATTTTATTAATGTGAACACTGAAACTCAAAGAAATTCTATGAATGGTGAAGGATCATCACCTTCCCAACATTTTCCCCTAGATCAGGCAGAATGTGATCATTAAAACAGCACAATTAATTCCCAACATTTTCCCCTAATTTCCCATTGCCGTTTCTCTTGGCAGGTTCTTCTTCCCCATTCAGTAAGGTTCAGTGTAATTACTCTGAAAGGTATGCATTGTTCTAAATCGTCCTCTTTTATATTCTCTGTCAATGAATGATGTGAATTAATCTAATCTATCTACTCCGTATTATATTGTTAAATGCCTTAGTTTGTATTACGATTTTACATTTTTAAAAGGTTTGCTCAACATTTTCTCCTATTACTGACTACATAATATTTTAGGAAGGAATTCATAACCAAAAATAGCATTTATCAGATTCAATTATCTGTATTTGTGTCCCAAACATGCTGGTGACATTTGCAAAGTGAAGAAATAGATCGCTGAAGAAGGCCTATGAGCTTTCTATATTTTGTGATTCCAAGGTTGCTTTAAATAGAGAAAAACTCTGTGAATTTTGCAGCACCTCTAGGTACTTTATTTATTTATTTATTTATTTTGCGAGATTCAACTGGGTTGTTGTTATTAATTAATTTATTTATTCTAGATTACAAATTAGATCTTGATTCTTTTTATTACGGGTTACATATTCTTTATTATTTTGGGGATTGGATCATATAAAAAAGTTCAGATTTCTTTCTGAAACTTGACGTATAGATCTTGAATTATATATATGCTCTAGTTTAGCTTTATCTATATACTACTCCGTATACTCAAAGAAGCAGAAATTGCTGGCCATCTTTTCTCGCCCAAAGGGTTTGCCGTATCCACTGCAGGTTGTTCAACCACTGCAAAGGGTTAAATTTACCACTGGTCTTTTTTTCCGGTTTACATCCCAATTTAATGAAAGAATGATTTTCAAAAATTAAAGCTAAAGTTTAAAGGTTCAAGAAAGAACCAAGAGGATAGTGATTTTTAATTCCATTTGACAGTATTTTCTATCTTCAAAGAAAAAAAATAAGATAAAGAAACATAAATGAATGACCTGGTAGAGATGGAGATGAGCATAATGGGTCTGTATTTACATAACATCTTATCTAAACATGGATGTATGAGTTGCTACGTTATGGGGTCTGTTGAAAACAAATACATATCATAGTCACATAAATCGCGGTACGCTTCAGTACGGGTATGCGGTACGGGTACGAAATTCGCTAGATGTAACGAATTCGGTACGAAGGGGGGTAGGTTCATTTCGGTACGAAGTGGTACGAAGCGGTACGGTGTACCATGTATTCGGTTCGGTGTACCAAAAGTCAGAACATAAGTAAACAAAAATAGATAAGATGAGCATAAGTGCATAACATTACAAAATCCAATTGAAAAAGTGAAAAACAAGACATCATCTAAAATATTCTAATCTAGACGCTGCCTTTTTCCTCTCCCATTGTCAAAGCCTTCATCATCAAGGTCTTCCCAAACCATTTCTTCAAGGCGGGCACTTGAACCTTCTATGTATGTATTTTCAGGATTCACGTCCCAGTTTTTGTGAGGGCCTGATTTGTAGGACTCTGAAAAGCGCGACTGAAGTCGAATATTCGAGTGAATAAACACAAGTTTATCGGCTCTCTTGCTATTCAAGCAATTCCTCTTGACATTATGGATATAGGAGTATGTACTCCAGTTTCTCTCTGCAGAAGAGCAACTAATTGGCTGAGACAAAACTTTCTTAGCTATTTCCGCCAATTCAGGAGTCTCTGATCCATATGTTGCCCACCAATCAATTGGATCCATTGTCACGGCATCAGCTTGTGTTGCTGCCCTAGAGTAAATCCCTTTCTTCATATGAAAGGTTGCAAATTGTTCTCTTAATACCTTATCTTCATGAGCATCTTCAGCAATTCTTTGAAATGCATCCATAACACCAAGTACAACTTCTTTGTCATCGTTTGGTGCTTTTCTTGCCATGCCACCAGGAGCCAACTTCTCTAAGTAGTATTTATCATAAAATCTTGGATTTAAAGCAAAACCCAAACAATGAAGTGGGATTGTCATTTTCTCCCACCTATCTAAAACAATTCTTCGAATCTCAGAAAAAGAAGATGAGTACTTATTTTCCATCATAGCATCTTTGATTTCTCCTACCATGTTATCCATTTTTTCATAGATTTCTCCCATTTTTGAACCTTCCCCATCACAA